TGTATTGTTACTTATGATCTACAGACGTACACTTGCAGCGGCTGTCTTGGCCTGGTCCAACCTTACGGAGGCGAATGTCGGCGAACACGACATGACTGCCTCCAATGAAACAGCCCGCCGCCATGCGCTCGAAACCCAAAAGCGCGATCTCACCGCCGTCCAGGTACTAGAGAAGAAGCTCAACATTGCACGGCGATGGGAGCGGGGTTCGTTTGAGTGGCAGGCAGCAGGAGAGAAGGTTATGATGCGGACATACCAACGTTGCATCGATGTCCTGGAAGGGCTCGTGGTCGCATGCATGTTTGAACTCACAAAGATGAACCGGTCCCAGACAGGTAAGACGTTGTCTTCTCGGAAATGACTGCAGCTGACGGCAACATGATAGGCTATAGCCTTCGTAAACACATTGCCAATGCGCTCAAGGCCCGATCTGTCGCCATTCGCACCGCCCTCGACAGGTACAATACAGCGGCGTTGGCTCTAGTGCCACCTCGACAGGTACTCAACTGGGATCAGGTCGTTGAGTACGCCTTCCTCTCGGACTTCGATCTCCTCCGTGATGCCCGTCAAGATATTCGAAGGAAACCTTGGGCGACACCCGCCGCTCGCCTTGCAATTGACCGGGCGTTCAAACTCGAACGTGCGCAGGAAGAGATTGCGCGGCTGAACATCGAAGTTCCCCGCCTCGCAACCTATATTCATGACGAAGACATTCTCCTTCGAGGAAAAGAAGCCAAGCTCTTGCTCTCTCGTCCTGCCCTCGCTCTTCAGCTCAAACTTCATTGGATGGAACGGGGCCGTTTCAATGCTCACCACCTGAAGATCTTGGAGAAGATCTATCTCCTGGATGGTTATACTGGTCCCATTGGATTTGGCACTCATGTTGCAGAGGCTTCTACCACATCAGAGGAGCCAGATGCAACAGGGGAGCCTCAGACCCCGGCCCTTCCCCCTACAGGTACCACCCCCAGTCATGAAGTGGATTTAGAAGAGGAGCTGGATGAGGAGCAGGCTGGTGAGGATGAGGAGATTGAGGTTCTTGGTGCCTGCTTTAGTGTACTTGATATGAGTGGTGACGGCCCCCGTAGCCAGGAGGACTAAGTAAAACATATGCATTACTATCTACCTAATAATACCTATTAATGCAAAAGA